GAGGATACCGAGAAGGAGGTTGCCGTTATTGACGGTCTAAATAAAGATTCGGGCATCGAAACATCAGATGTAAAAAGCCTTCAGTCTGCTAGGGCTCAGGTATGACACACATTTTCTGTATTGTTTACAAATTGTCAAAACCCATTTTTAGACTTTCCTAATTCCTAAACCAAGCACCGAAAGTGAGAAACAGAATATTTTTCCTAGACCGCCTAATACAGTACCTTACTTGCCAACTACGATTCCCTTGGAAGTTCTGATAACTTCCGGTAAAATTACTTTGTCTTTGTACAGTGTAGATGACGAGAGAAATGTTTATATTAAGTTACAAGGGCAAGAAAAAAGAAATCACAGAAGAAGGTAAAGATTTGTTGTGTTATATTATGTCTCTCAGAAAATATTCCAAGTTGAATAATTATTTATACAGATTGTCGCTAAGGAGGTAAGTAAAAAGCCATTGTAATCCCAGTACAGGTATTTCGGGCCACTGCAAGAAAATCTACAAAATAAAAATATTAGTTATTTTTTGTAAACACTGCTAACAAGTTTAATCCAACTGAAACTACTTGTCAAAAGTTAGGGTTTACAGATCAATAAATTTGCCTAACGAACAAAAAAAAATGTTTAAAGTTTCTGAAAGTTTATCTCTTCCGTCGTCGGAATCCAAAAAACACAAAGAATAGTAAAGAAAACCATTTAAAATATTTAAAATGCAACTATTCCAGAACACTTTAGTTTTTTTAAACAGATACGCCTACAATAACAGTTGACGTCCCTCTATTTTATTTTTTATTTTATTGAAGCAAATATAATATAATTAAATAAAACAGTCTAATAATTAGAGTTTATTTTTCTATGTCTAAGGTACTTTTAAATATAGTTTTATTTTTGTGACATATGGTTAATATAATGTATAAAGATATTTCACAGTAAACGACTGTAATTCGCAGTAATCAACCAGTATAGTAGTAATCCGGCCTATCTATCCAATTTTGGCGCCCAACGTTGGGCGCCAAATATAATATAAAAGTGAAATAAAAGATTAAAGTATTATTTCACATCATCTATTTATTGAAATAATAAAATTAAAACGAGTTATACCTATGATAGAAAGTTTAAGAAAGGGCTAATATGCTTTAAATAAAAATAGTCAGACAAATAGCACCAACTAACTGAATATGTAAACAACAAACCAGTTTGCACAAATTACTTAAGTCTAATGTAAAGTAGTTGAACTATTATATCAATATAGTGGGACATAATTTTTACAGGCCGATGAAGATCAAGGTTACGAGGCGTCAGAAGAAAGTACCGACGACAAAACTGACAATTACAAAAAGTATATACCGTTGATTTACGTTTCTTTCACTCAACCTAACGCTTTCTTTGTCAAACAACAGATAGGAAGAAAACTCCAGGTTTTATACCTATCTTCTTTAAACTCAGCATACTTTAACAAGTAATTCTGGTTTTAGCTGTCGTGTTTCGATATTAATTTCAAACTAAGCGGTCCAGAATATACTGCTCTGAATCACATGCCGAACGAAACGGACTTTCCAGTAAATTTGTTAGAGACCAAGCCTGGAACGCCTAATAGTAACGGTATCCTACCGGCGTTTTTTGTATTGAAGTTTATCAAAGGTAAGACGCAATTATACAGGGTGGGTCTTAAATAAGCGCAAACATTTTTAGGGATAGTACATTTCGGCCTATGAGTTTTTTTCGTGAAGAAAAAATCTTGTAAATTTGGAAATTGTCAAAAACATTTTTAGATTTTTTTTTAATTTTTAGTTAAAAAAGATAATATCTTCATAGTATGGCAACATTTTACAAGAAAGAAAACTCAGAAGACATTCAGTGGTTCTGAAAATTTGAGCGTTTTTTTTTTTAATTTTCATAGTAAAAGATTTCAGTTATTTTAGACTTGTTTTAAAAACGGTAAAGCAAAAATATGTTCTTTTTATCGAGATCTACCAGCTCTGAAAATATTTGCACTTATTTAAAACTCATCCTGTGTATAGATGTAAATGCGAAATTAAAGCTTGGATCTTTTGTAAAGGGCTCTATAAAATATTCAGTGACAGTAAGTTTCTTACGCAGCTTGTATCTTTTGTGGTACTGACTCACAACTCATCAATAAATCAATTACTTGCTTTTTAGGTGTAGGAAAAAAATCAAAAATTGAACTTGACATCTCCAAACCTACCAAAGTTCTGTGTAAAACATCAAAATGGAGCCATATGTTGGCTATTAAAGATAAGGTTGTGGATACATTTAACAGCGGCGGAGGTGGCAACAGTTTCATGATCCTTTTAAAGGCGCATTTGTCAAATAAGAAAAACGCCATTAACGAAAGTCAACGAAGTGTTCGAGTGAACGATACCTATAGCAAATTCCAAGAAATAAAGGAATTTTTAGGTAACACAAATTCAGTCTCGGTCAATTTTGACCAAATCGTCTTTGCCGTATCCTCGGAAAGTGGTCACGAGCTTCACATAGGCATGCAAAAACTCAAAAGCCATCTTTCTTTGAACACCAGACCGGAAAAATTATGCTTGGCAACGACTTTCGAATGTCTGACTTTGACTGTCATTCATGACGTTTTCAAAAAACTGTTGCTAAACCCCTGGACTGTCACCGTTGATGTTTGCGTGTTCTGGGAATCTTGGCAAGACACAGACAGCAATCCCCAGGTAATATATTCATTTTTTATTTCTACTATTTGTTTTTAACATTATCAAATATCATAATTAGGTTCAAGTATCGATTGAAAGTGACTGTATTTTACTGGACGCGACTGCAGAGCATTTAAAATGTGTCGAGATGGTTTTAAAAGATGTAAATGAGTTTATATCGATGTTGCCGAATAAAGATATGGATGAAGTTAAGAAGGAAGATAGTTTTGCAAAAATAGAAAAGGATCAGTACTACAAGGATGATCTGAGAGCTGGAGCCTTTCAGTTTGTCGATTCTAGTACTGATAATTCTGATGAAATGCCTTTACCTTATCAGGTAAGATTTTTTTTATCATAGTATGGCATTTAGGTTCCTATTATTTTGTTTAGTTATTTATTGTTTAAGAAACTCTTTGTGATTTTCCTACAAAATTAAACACAATATTTTGTGAACAGTGAACTTATATTTGATATCAATTAAACTTTTAGTTACGTAATCGAAGACGCGATTTTTAAATTCATTGTTACCAACCATGGACATATTCGGCGCCGGGCTGACTAACTGGAATTTTAATTTCGCGCTTCAGGTGGTAGCACTGCTGTAAAAAAAATCTTATTTTAATTGCCATATTTATTTATTTATTTCCTGACATTGTCGTTCGTTTTGACACTTTAGTTTTGTATAATGGGTTTTTGGTTTAAATAAATATTGTTGTGATACTTTAAGCTTAAAAATGTTTACTAGCATACCTTGCAGTCGAACATTGTTCTTTTTAGAACCTCTTTTATTGCGAAGTGTACAAGATAGCTTAATAGCCGTAAAAATTCATCGCAACTTTATTAGAATATCTTGAACGGGAAAGCGGTAGTAACGGCGCTTTAGTATCTTAAGTGCTGTTAAGAAGGTGAGTTTTGTTGATGTAAATAATAACTGTTTTTATATTTATAATTAATTTATTTTTGTTTCCTAAAATATATTGATTAAAAGAAAATATGTAAAAGTGGGCAATGCCGCGCCGCGCCGGTCAAGCTTAATCACATGACTAAAAGTTTATTTGATTTGAACTATAACTGTCATTGCTCAGACAAATATTATAAATAAATAAATCTTACTGAACAATAATATATACAATATAAATAATTGTCGTTAAAAGTCGTTTATTAATTACTTTCTATAGGTTATGTTTTGGTCGAAAACCATATCAGCCATGGCCTGGAAATATCCGCAGCCTCGCGCTTTGACCAAAGTGAGAGTTTTTCCGGTGCCATACAAGATGGCGCTTGGTTCGCAAGAAAGCGTCATGATTCTGTGTCATTTGGAATACTGGTCCGAGTGTAGGAATTGTTATTTGCCATACACCGAATTCTATTTGTCTGAAAGTGAAGTTTGTCACCTAAACTTGCCCAAAGGACAGCCCCAAAAAATCGTTGCCAGCGTTTGGAGGGTAAGGTATTTGTTTTCCCATAGTGAATAACTGGTTAAATAAAATTATATAAGAATTTTTGCCACTTAACTGCTGATATAGAAATTTAATTCCACGCTGTGTTAGTCATAATGTGGAACAACCTGCCTTCACTACCGGTTTCGGAGCCCTACTCCATCATCAGGTGAGCAAGGGTAGATTCCACAAAATGACAACCACAGCACAGAGTAGTTAATTCCGACTTGTCGGAGAGTATCGGTTATATATTAAGTCCCGAACGGTAGATAGCGGCCTGCGTGCAATGGTAATACTTTCGTACCACCGAGGCGCAACTAGCGATAGTGAAAGGATGGTAAAAGGTTTTTTTTCAGGCAAGCCAAATTATAAAACGAAAAACAAATTTCTTGCAGTATAGGTATATAATAAAATTATTTGTGGAATCTACCCAAGTTCACCTGAATATGGAGTAGAGCTCCGAAACCGGTAATGAGAGCAGGTTGATCCACATTATGACAAACACAGCCTGGAATTAAATTTCTATATCATAGTATATGTTCATAGAAACTTTTTGTTTTATGTTTATCTGTAAAATCACCCAGCAAAGTTAGATGCACAATTTTTTGGTAACCCTGTATATTATATTTTTGTAGGTGGTAATAACTGCAGTCGATGATCAATCCGATGAAAACATACCTCACAAAATAGGGATATCACCGAGAGCTCTAGCCGCCTGCATGAGAATCGATTCTTACTTCAATAAGTCGTTGATTCCTAACCTCACTACTGCCCTTTACATAACGAAGATAGAGGTCGCTTTGTACAATTACTTTCCTAAAAACGAAAATAATGTAAAGTTGCCAAAGAGTCTGAAAAAATACAGTTCGGATTTTAGTTTCCCGGAGAATCAACGATTTTTGACATTGACAGTTGACAATTTGTGCTCTTACTTGTCAACATGGAATTTCGATATTTTCGCGACTGAAATAACAGGAGCTCTAAGTTCGAATGTGTTAGATTATGCTTTTCTAACTGAACAAAATCTTTTAGGTAAGTAGTAATTTTTTTTTAAATATTTAGCTTATCTTTTTATCTAAGTATAACAAAAATATGAAGTGCATAATTTGTGAAAATTAATAATAAATAAGACATAATAAAAAAAATATATAGAAGCACAGCAAATTCTCAAAATTCGGACTTAGAAGATTAAAATAGTATTTGACTCTTCCTTTCTTAATGTTTGATTTAATAGTAATTATACCTATAAGAATTATTCATGTCTCTTACAAAACGCATTTTAAATATATTTGAGCCTACTGTATATAACCACAGATTATACAGATTATAATCTTTGTTTTTTCTTTATTGTTTTTCGTGGTTCCAATTTTCGGAATCGGGCACTAATTAGGTGACTAGTTTGCGCACATAGCACGCCCACGTATGGCCTCTAAAATTGTGCACAGCGCCTGACCGGCACAGTTATTAGAGAGATATCGGAAAACCGAATAGCGTCATCCAGTATTTACGCGTACCTTATCATGGTTACGATATGCGCGAGTCAATTTTTAACGCAACACCCGCTAATAACGTTACCGCCTGACGGAATTTGCGGATCAATTACACCAAGCGCTCTTTCTAAATAATCTCTGATAACGTTTAAAAATTGCTTAAATGGGCATGTGCGGGTATTTGACAACCGGAGCCGGCCGGCGAGATCTTTTATTTTAGGTTATGTTTGAATTATTTTGAATTATTGCCTTAGTTTTATTAGGTAATTTGATATTTAAGTAGCTGGGGGATTAGTTTTAATTAAATAAATATGACCCAAAATATGGATTCCACCTCTTCCAATACTAAAGAACCTATAAAGAGTCTTAGGTTTACAGCAGATGACGACTTAGCCCTTCTAAGAGAATTTGTTGCTTGTTGTCCTAAACCCATTGGCAGACGTTGCACAATAAAGCACTGGAAATAAGCACTTTAGCCCTTTAGTTTTAAAATACCTAGTAAACAAAACAATTTCAAAGTTTTAAATTCAAAGTTAGGTTAAGTTTAAATAGCGGACGCGACGCGATCAGAATTCTTTTCGATTCTTTTGTATTTTACGCGAGTTTATTTTTGCGCACAGGAAATTTGACTCGTTTGCACATCGTCATAAAAAACAATTTTCGTACCACGAATTAGGGACAAGATTTTTATCTATATACTTATAGGATACATAATCTGTGATATAACCATATTTTTTTTAGAAACGTTTACATGTAAGTTGGAATTATTCTTAAACAAAGGCCTGGAGTGCAACATAATTTCTAAGCCTATACGCCTAAATATCGCACCGAGCATTGCTCATACTCTGGCCGTGAGTTCTCAGATGTGGACTCGGAATAGCTCAGACGATGCAAACGCCTTAGAGTTTGTTATTGTGACGAGATTTGTTATATGTAATGACACGAATGCGAGCATTCGATTTGCTCAGTGGGCTACAGAGGAAGATATCTTGCTGCCATCTAGAAAATGTAATTTGTACTCCTGGAGGTCTCAAAAGAAACATCAATATTTAAGGTAATTTGTAAAATGCTAACATATTACAAGATATAATAAATATGAAAAAAATTGTGTATACGCTACTGAAGCAGGTAAGTCAAATTTGCTGTCCTCCATTCGCGAATTTCAAGTTCCAGAGCTTTACGTCGTGGGCTACTCGAGAACGGTTCTGAAAGGGGCTGTGCGCGATAGCCTAGTGCCTCTATATGGCGCGGAACAGTTCATGAGCAGTTCTGAACTTTATGACTCAATTGAATGGAGTGAGAGTATCGCGTTCTTGAACAGTTCAGAGCTGCACAACTGCGTGAATGGAGAACAGAATTGGCGTATCTAAATTCTTTGATGATTCTTTTTTTGACATCTAATCTTTGACAAGTAGCAATAAAAAAAAAAATGAAAGAAAATATATAATTAGTTAATTTTAAGTGAATTTTTTTTCATAAATTATCGGTTTACTACGCGTATATATATATTATACACTGCTGGCAAAGGAACATTAGCAATAGGAGGTTTTCAATGCGGTAAAAAAGATGGTAAGGCTGCAAAATACACTGCAGTGCAACAGAGACGGATAAACTGTCTTTTCCTACCATCGTATAGGGAAGTGATCATAGAAGTGATACGACGAGAGAGCCTCTGCGAGAGGGGGCGAGTCTTTAAGACGTTTGTGTGGGGCTACCGCCTACTAATAGAATAGAATCGAAAAATAGAAACAGGACGGACAGTGTTGCCATTCTATTAAATCCGATTAAATCGAAATTATGTTGGCTTATCCCAAATCTAATCCCATTATCTTGCCTGCTTAATGAAATATTAAATAAAGTACGAAACAATTTTAAGAATGTTTTCTCTAGGCACATAACTTCTTTCTAAAACGAAAAGTAACATGCAAAACTTTGAAATCATTTCTAAAATAGCAAGTGCAATTCTATGAAATGGCAATACTGTACGATCTTCCTAGCAGTCGCCCCGACACCGTCGGTCGGCGGCGGCGGTGACAAAGGAATTAGGTCGAAAAAACTTTATAAGGAGTAGCCGAACAGGGTTGCCGGGTTTGTTAGATTATAACTCCATACGAGAACAAAATTCTCGGTAGATCTTCAACAAAAATCAAAAGTACAGAAACAAAATAAAATATAATATTTAAGTTGAAAATTAGCATTCGTATGTGTCGTAATAATAGATCACTCAAATAAAATACAAATATAATAAATATAACAAGAATTAGAAATAGCTAGGTATATTATTTGATATTAAGAAAAATATTGCATTAAATAATATTAATATATTAATAAAAACATATAAAACTATAACAAGTAGGGATAGCAGTCACAAATTAGTGTATCAGTCACTTTTTACCTTTGTACAAATTTTGATCAGTGATATCTAAAATTAATTTCATTTCAATGGGAAAGCTGTAGCAACTCTCAACTCTTTTTTCATATTATATATTTTTTGACGGGAAAATCACTAAAATATTTGTCCGAATTTAGGTTGTTTCTTAACTTAAATTTTGTTTTTTGTTTACATTTTTTGGGGAAAATATGGGTTCAACTTTAGTAGATGAATGAAATAAAATCTTTTCAAAAGATATCAACTTCTTCGGGCATGTCGCCAATACCGCGCCTAATAAGGAGTAATAAGGAGTAATAAGGATTTTTAGGAATATCTCTGTAACTCTGCAACTAGACAGAACGATGACCTGTATGTGTGTTATTACTAAATAAAATTTAATGAAACAATAATAAAGTCAAATTATACAGATTCCAACACGGCAGTCGCTTAATTTTTAGTCAAATAAGTCAGCTTTTTATAAGTGCTTCTATTGTAAAAACTAAAGACGCAGTTGAATATATCGTTAGATTTTTCTTTAAATCGGTAGATCGGTAGCTTACAGACGAAACCGGTAGACCTGGCAACTCTGTGATGAACTGACGGGAGTCAGAATAGCGAGGTGCGGAGGCGCGGGAAGGGAAATAAAATAATGGCGATAAATAAAGGGCAGGGAGATGGGTATCATGAGTGGATGGGAGGTGGCGGAATTTTCAAAATTTGTTATCTTATTGGAGTTTGTCTAAGTAGACAGTCGTAGTGGAAGTGGAAACGGGGAAGTTGTTGTCCATCTCTGTTTAAGCATAGACTTTTTATAGGCGTTTCATTCCAATGTATGTAATTCCTGTGCCTAGAGATCAATTGCCGGGCCTGTATAGTCACTTACTAGCCAAAAGTTATTCCATTATTTCCCTCGATTTTTTTCCGATATCTACCGCACGCTACACAACCAAATATTTTAGTCTTTTTCGATAAATCGCAATAGTGTCACTGTTAATATAAGTTCTGCCACAATTTCCTTCTAGATTTACTACCTTTAAACAATAATCAGTAGTAGAATAAATAATAAATAACATCAGCTCAGTGAAGACTGCCAAATCTACAATATTTCAAATCAAATTTAAATATGTCAAATAAATCCTCAAACAGAACTATCAAGGATCCCCACCCTAGGGCTCATTATTCTCCTTCCTTAATCTTTTTATTCATAGGTGTCAATAATTAACTGACTGTCTTTCTAGAGTTGCCATAGAAGAAACTGATTATATGGTCAAAAGCTTTCTCCATATCCCAAACAGGCAACCAAGTTATCCACTTCAATTCCGAAAAGAACATAACATTGTTCGTTTCGGTTAAAGAGCTATCAAAAACACAAAAACAGATCACTTTCTACGGTCAGCTGATAGTATACAACCTGCTTTCTGAACACTTTGAAATGAAGATAGTTGAAGCGGTGGCTGAGAATAAGGAAGCCGAGTTTAAGAGCGCTCAGGTTCATATCGCAGCTGGTAAAACGGCAGCGCCCAGTATTTTTATTAACGATAAGAAGAGTTATTTTCTGAGATTGCGCTTCTATGGGTTGGAGTCGTCGTGGACCGGTGATATTCCTCTAAGAGAACACGCCACAGGTTAGTATTTTGATGTATGTGTGAAGTGTTAATTGATTAATATAAAAGATTATTAGTTAGCCAATCTCATTTAAATCGGAACAGCGGCTCTTAAAATATCCTAAAAAATGTGCTTATTTTTTTAAAGTTTGATGCCCTCTAACATCTGAATGAAGCACTTTTGTATAGATGTAAATTGTAACTAACGACCTTATTTTGATTTCAAACATACGTAGTAGTTATATATTCACGGATACCCTATTAAGAAAAATATATTTGAATCTTTCTTAGTCGTGTTATTCCATTGTCATACGGAAGTAGATTGTGATGTAAGATGTATTTACTAGGTTCTCAACCTTGGTTAGTTAAGGTTCCTCTTCAAGAGAGAGGCCAGTTCCTCTCAATTTGGTGCAGGATTTTCGTCCAGGACATTTCCAAAAAGACCAAAAGGATTTTGGCTATGCTGTGGCCCTTGTTTATGGTGAAGTCTAATTTGCCTATGCACGCGAATGTGCACATTGAAACGCCCACGTTAAAAGTTCATTTGGATTCTGTGGTGAATGGAAAAGGCGAATTGCAGCAACTGTATTGTCCTGGGACGGTGGATCATTCGCATCAGATCACTTTTAAATTGGAAACAGGCAAGTAATGTCTAATATCTTTGTAAATTTGTTTAGTATTCAACTTAAAAAAAAATGTGAATATATAAAGTGTAATATTCATTTATTTACAATATATGGTAATGTTGACATTACTGAGTTTAAATTTTTGTTTATATTTTTTTCTTTATTTTTGTTTATCACATTATCTACTTTTATTTATCTTCTCTATTTTCTTCCATTGTTCTTTTTTTTTTCATTTCTCTGCTTGAGGTTTTTCTGTATCTTTTTTAAATGTAATAGGGTATCAATGTTAATATAATTTTTATTATCATCAATTTCTGGCAATATTTGTTTTTTGTACTCAAAATTCGAAGGAACAAACTAGAAATTCAAAATTGATATTCATATTAAGTAATCAAGTTAATAATGGTTTATTAACTAAATTATTTAAAATTTATTTTGTTAAAAATCTGTTTGCAGGAAATTGCAACACCAACAATCCCTATGTACCTCTGAACTACTCCTTAGTGGACCAACAGAAATTCTTCAAGAAAACTCCCTCAGATGATCTAGAAGTAATATTAGATTCATTAGAATCTTGCTTTGAGTCAAAATGGCCTTATTTCGGTGACGAACTGATGATATTGAATGGATTGTGGATGATAATCAACCTTTAACTCATGTTCAAGTTCGGTAAGCGGAAGAAATCTATTTGGAGTTAATAGACAATCATAGAGCGATTTTTTCCGATAATTTTACAGTTTTTATAACTATTTTCTCACACGTACTACACTCTTTTAGCTATCAAAATGCCTGTCAGCATTCGTGTGCTTTACTAGTCGAACTATTACCTTGGTGTTTGATGGTAAATACCCTGGGTACTCCAGTGTCAGTAATGCTGAACGGAGTGGAACTATGTAAAGTACAACACCACGGTATCATAGCTCCTCCAAAATTAGAGGAAACCTTTCATTTGGGCGTGTTAAGCAGCAACAAGTTGTTCTTTTCTGGGCCTTTGCAGCTGGCTAAAAGTGATTGGAGTCAGTCGTTTTACATGCCGAAAATCTCTGGTAAGATTTTGAATTCTTTTTCTGTTATTTATATGTACAAAATCTTGATTTAGGAACTATTCCTATCGATGGAACAATTAAAACTAGTATAAAATGCGATCAGCATTTATGTATGGTTTCAATCACGAGTTTAATGTCGAATGAAATCAGATTACTAAGACTCTCATCGACTCATGTACTGTCAAACCATTCATCCACTCAAGTTCACATCGTTTGCTTGGCTGTTCCTGACTGTAAGGAATCTTTAAGTTTACCTCAGAACTTGGAGAAGTATTGTTTTACTGTGGCACCCCATCTACAAAAAAGGTAAAATTTAATATATATTTGGCATTTATAAAATTAGCCATGATTCAACAACTCTGTATGGAACATTAAAATATGTTTGTGTCATTTTTGTTAGCGAAGTTTGTTGATATACTTCTTCTGTAGTGTTTTTATTCAATGTCCTAGCTCCAGTAACTAAATATAATCCACTATTTTTTTAAATTGTTTTAGTCATTGCGGCATTCCCATTGTACAGTGGTATATAATCAAATCACCTACGGAAACACCCACTGCCGAGTATAATTTATACATGACGTTCTCGGTCGATCCAAAAGTAGGATGGTCCTGTCCAGTCAGAGTTGATAAGCCTTTAGTAAGGAAATCGTTCTCTGTACAGACAAAACAGCTTTCCGTAAGTTTAGAAAATAACCTTATATATCAGAGGTTACAGTGAATAAGTTGGCCATCAAAAAATATTCTTTTTCAAATGTCTGAATTTGTATCTTCTTTTGCCTACTGTCAGAATCAAAAACTCATACTTTTTTATTTGAATTTACCGCCCTACGTAATAGAATATATGTGGCGCCAAAAAATATATGTGTAACATTTTTTGTTGTTACACCTTTCGAATAAAAAATATAGATATTAAATTTAAAACTTGTGTGCCAGGCATCATATACAAGAAGAGGAACATAGCTGTAGATGGTAAAAACATTTGATTAGGAATTATTTTTTAAAGAATTTATTTTCAAATAAGCTTTGTTATTCATTTTATTTAAAGAAAATTATTTATTTTAGAGATGGCATTTTTCTGCGATACCATCAATATAATAATTTCAAAGAAGTTGGATTTTAAGGCAAACAATCTAGTACTACAATGATACCAAAATACAGATTTATTTATATTATATATAATTTAATTCCTGGTAACCACAGTTTTTTGTTCAGTAGCTTCCTGATTCCAATGTATTCAAATAATTTGTTTTAATAGATTCCTGTAGTGTTGACAGCCCAAGAGAATAAAGGCCAAGTGTATCTAGCAATCCATAACGATCCTAGACCCCTAGATTTTATATAGAAATAAACTTAGGCAGTTGCATTTTCCTGTGTGGGCAGTCGCTGCTGTATTTATTGCGGAATTGTCAAGGAAGCAGAGCATATTAGGTTAGTTGTGGCGTACGGAAAATATTTTGTTTTAGAAATATTTATAAAAGTGTTTTATTCTATATTTCTACGTCTATTTTAAGCGTTAAGGTTATATTGTTCTTGTAATTCCTATCATTCTCTTTGCTAATGTTATAAAAGTATCAATTATATATTTTAAGCAACCAGTGGAATGCTGTCTTATCAGAACATTTTCTTAAAATTGAAGAATATAGATTAAAAAAAATATTTTTACATTTAGGTGGACCTGTAAAGTGGGAAGTATGTCTAGAATGTATTACAATTTGCCAGTATTATCTGAAAAGTTTCCTGAACTACCTCAAGTGTATTTTTCGGAAAAATTATCTTTAGGATATTCTGAAGGTATTATAATATATTCTAGAAATAAAAGCAATGCATATTTTGTAAAAATATTTTTCTTTATTAGATGAAAAAGAGATAAAGGACATTGAGTGGTCTGCTGGTGTGAGCATAGTTAATAATAATTCACTCTTACTAGAGTTCCACATTATGGTGACAGCAATACGTAACCGAACGAAGTACTACTGATTTTTAAAA